ATATAGTATGTGACTTCAAATTGTAATATAATATAATGAATAATAGTATAATATTGTATGCAGTCCCAAATTGTATTAAAACAATACGAATAATTTTATTTAAATATCTCTTTAATTTGATTTTTTTTCCAATATCTAAAATGTCTGAACAAAAAAAATCAACTGGATGTACTTTTTGTAGAAAACAGTCACCTTCACCTTCACAACCTTCACAATCTTTTCTGCCATTACAAACTTCCTTCACATCAATAGCATCAGAAGCAACAACAGTTCGTTCAGTAACACCTGATGCTAAATCTTCAATCCCTACTATGACTGCTGAATTGCTTAGAAGAAGGTCATTTATTGTATTGCCTGAAATATTGACATCTGAAGTTACACAAATATCAATGTCAGAAGTTGAATTGTTATTTAAAACTTGAACCAGGAAGGATATTGAAAAGATTAGAATTAAATTATTGCTGAATTATTAAAAATTACCTTTATTAATCAAATAATTTATTTAAAAAATAAAGAATTATATGCATGGATTAAAATACTGGAAAGAGAAAATATTAAATTTGTAAAACAATTAGACTTAATGGAATATATTAATAACAAGTTTTTTAAAGAATCCAAATAGCAAAAAAATGAAATAGAAGATTTAAAAAAGAAAATTGATCGGTTTAAATTTGTGAAACCTGAATGTGATTATATAGTTGTTATAGAATCTAGAGCAGTTGATATATCAGAATCCAAAAGTTTGTTGAGTTTAGAAAAGTATCGAAGAAGTTAATCTAGAAGAAGCAATAAAGAGGTAAAACTGATAAAACTGATTAGTGAAGATAAGCTGAAACCAGAAAAAGTAAGAGCATAAATGAAAGCCTTAATGAAAACTATTCCTAACAAATATAAACTAAAAATAGACAAAGTTTTTTTGAGTGATATAAATAAAAAAATATTACAAAAGAATACCTGAATTAATAAAATCCATGATCTTATGTTTTAATCCCTCACAAAAGCAAATAAATGAATGGTTAGATACTTTATATTGTCATTAGAGAGGAAGATATCAGAAAGCAAAAATTGAAAATTAGAAGTAGACAATTGTCACTTATATGCAAATAGTCAGTTAAATGAAGTAAGATTAATAATATTTTATATTTATACTAACTTCAAGTATATATTTTTAACAAATAATTAAGAAAAGGGTACAAAGAATTAAAAACGTATAGTTACTTATTGAACGAAGGTCAAAGAATGTTGTCAAATATCAGGATGAATTAATTGATATAATTAAAAAAACAAAGATACATTCATCTGAAGAAAGTAATATTGATCCAAAAAATCTCACTAAAAGAAAAATAAATATATATAATTATAATTAACATTTTAAAAAAATATTTTTTAGCAAAATATTTTATGCCAAATAATTACAATATTAATCATAATTACTTATAGTTAAAAAATTTGTTGAAATATTTGGATAAACATTCAAAATCAATTCAAATATTCTAGCTGATTCGTAAATAATATTATAATAATTTATATTTCTATGACGTGACTTCACTAGAAGACCTACTGAATTGGACCTATAGTTTAGAAGAAATTTCAGAATGTGAATAAGAAAAAGAGATAGAAAAAGATAAAAAATCGACAGATAAATTCAAAAGATAAAAAATAATTGAATATAAGAAATTATTAATGTATTTAGAGAATAAAATTCAGGGGATAGTTAAGTTAGAAGAAAAAAGTGAAAAATCTTGAAAAACATTCAACCAATTAGAACTAGTTTTAAAAAGTCAAGCTGAGATTTTTAAAGGAAAAAGAAAAGCAAGTGGAAAAAAAAGAAGAGGAGAAAGAGGAAAATGATGAATAATTTAGTCAATTGATTTTGTAATTTTTTAATAAATTTTGTGAAATTTGAATTTTTTATTACAATAATTTTTTTGCCAAATTTTTTGCCATAGTATCAATTTTTTTATCAATTTTTTTGCTGCAGTATCAATTTTTTTACTGAATTTTTTGCCACAGTATCAATTTTTTTGCCAAATTTTTTGCCACAATATCAATTTTTTTATTGAATTTTTGATCACAGTATGCAAAAAATTTTTTGCCACAATATTACCGGATTTTGTACTGAATTTTTTTTTTACAATATTCCAATATTTTTTGCCAATTTTTTGCCAATATTTTTAATACTGGGTGGCAGCAATTATAAATAATTCATTAATTTTTTTATTATTAATTTTTATTAAATTCAACAATAATTCGGTAGCTGAATAATACAATTTTGACTAGTATAAGAATTTGAAGTTCATCATAAGTCACTTGTCTATTATATGTGGATAAAAAATTACTATTCAAAAAAGATTGAAACCAATTGTATTTTTGAAAATAAAAATTTCCATTAAATAATAAGTTTCATTAAATAGTATATAAGAAAGAAATCAAAATCAAAAATAAATAAATTCTTTAGATAGTTAGAAGAAGAAAAGATATTTCAATTAAGTATTTCTTATTGAGAAGAAATCTTGTGAAACAGGTCTTTGGAAAAAGTCAAAAATTTTTATTTTATTTTTTCTTTTCATTTTTTTATAATTTATTTAAATATTTTTAGATATTTTCTTTCTCTTTTTTTCAATCTATTCTTTTGTAATTTCCTATATTTCAATGGCTTAGTAGGATACATTATATAACAGTAACAATCTATTGGTAATAAATAATAAATTAGGAGAATATTCATCCAAAGATTACTATGAAATAAAATATTGTTCCCAAGGTCAAACTTAAAGATTATTAGTACTTATGATGAGTTTGTTAGATTTGATAGTAATATTTAGCTATAGTATACAATATATCATGCTACTCAAGTAAAAATGTACTTATGTTTTCAATTGATTAATAAACTATGATCTAGCTTGGCTCAAAAAAAAAAAAAAGAAAAAAATTAAAATAAGTGACTCTATAATCTCAAATACTAAAAATACTAAAGCATATATTATGTTTTCCATATTTCTAAAAAACTTATAGCTATATATAAATACAGTATATATATATTCAAAAAGTCACTTTATATGATGTTTTTATTAAATTTAGAATTGCTGTTGTCGTTATGTTCTGGACGTAAACTTTTGTTCATGTGCAATAATTTAATAAAGTAACCAATTTAGCCAAATGGCGGGTTAAAAAACATCGGTTAATTAATAAAGGTAAATTTTAATAATTCGTTACGTCGGAAAAACAGGAAATAATAAAAATTAATAGCGTATAAAATATTATAGTCGTTGGCAATGTTCAGAAAAAAAAAACCCAAAAAGCCTACTTTTAATATTCCTAGGGACCTCACTGAACTTGGCTACCATATCGACATTGACGGGAAGCTTAAAACAATTAAGGGTAATATGCTCCTTCCTTGTCTTATTACGCGACATTTCTCATCTCGCACAACTTCTTTATCGCGTCAATAGATAACGAACCTTACAAGTATGAAGTAAAAGAAAAAGACAAGGCTTACAATGAAGCTCTATACGATGTCATACTTGGTACGCTCCATTTTTCATTAATCTAGAACTTTAACGCAGAATATCGCGAAACAAACTTACCATGACGTTGTTGATTTACAGATATATTGGGCGAGTTGATTGAAAACAAATTCGTAAACGAGTTTGGAATGATACGATTAGTACTACCACTTGGTGCAGATGAAAACGACATACACACGAAGATTTATGTGACGTATGGATTTTTAGATCAATCAGGCTGATTCTTAACTTGTCAAATAGAATCCTAAATAAGCATCATCTTTCCTAGTCCTGACTATTTATCAAATGAAAAGATGGTGGTTTTCATTCCAGGAACATCTCACACGTATGTGAATATTATAACGGGAAGGAAATTTTGTAAATATGTATTGAACAAATGAACGTCATTATCTTAAGGGTCGGTATGTGGTCACGAAGAGCCCTGTTAGATGTATCAATCGAGGTATGCCTGACCGGTTTTTTAAAGTGTATGCGTTCTTTCTTGTTTAATTCAGTTCTCGAACTTTGTTTATGAAAAGGATGGATCAATGATTGCGTATACCAAGCGTGCCATCTCTTTGGGTTTTGCTGTTATAATTTGTAACCCGAATGAGGTTTTCTGGTACAAGGGAAAAGGTGTGGTAAGTTGGTTATCCAAATGTTTTATGTAATTTATCAAAATCACGCTGCATATTGTCATTTATAGATTATCCTACCAAAGGCCAATGTGGAATTTGACTCGATCCCAGGTAAACCATTTCGTTGAAGGAGTTGAATATAATTCAGACAATCTGCATCTTAAACATTCATATTTCTTTAAATTATCAACTAGCAAGCGAATCGCCCGAGTCTCATACAAAATATATATTTGAGAATATTATTTTGTACATTCATGGTTATAACTTCATTGATACCTTTCTTGAACTATTTATATTAATAATTATTCTTTTGTTTAGGCCATCCGCCGCACATAAAATATTTATTGTCGCTAACAGTTATGGAGGACATTGCGCTGTCGATGCCGTACAAACTTATTGTAAGCCGAGATACCTTTACTGAGAAAAGCGTGGAAAGATTTTTAATGTGCTTCGATTATAAAATTAGTTAGCGAATTAAACGACAGATTAGCAGCTATTGAATTTACGGCATCAACACACTCGATTGATTTTGTCAAATCCAATCGAATGAAAATCTGGATACGTGAGGTGTGCAAATGTATCTTCTATGCTATATTATTGCTTATTTATTCTGTATTTTCTATTCGATTGTATTGTAATATTATTTATTAATTGGTAATTCATTTTAGAATTGTCGCAATTGGCTAATGTCTGATTCGCCTGTCGGTAAAGAAATTGTCGACACAAGATTCGGTTGTGTCTGTTTATCAGCAAGCAAGTGAAAATATTATCATTATTTTTGAGGACTATTCGTAGAACACGTTAAATGAATTTTTCTTCGTGTTATTATAACATTAGACTGCGAATATAACGAATACGTAACAACCTCGGTAATTGACCGTGTATTTGACTTTTTCATGGAGAAATTGAGCATGCCCGATAATTGGCGCGAAGCCATGATGTTAAATGGCGAAGAAGAAAGCGGTCTCGAACAATTGGATAATAAAGCTCAAAAATCATTTGAAGACGATCTATTGGTTAATGATGTACAAGATAAAATTCATTACTATATGGAAAAAAGTGAAGGTTCGAATTCGGGTTGGGATTAAGATATCTATTGCTGCCCGTGATTTCTGGAAAAGGTAGGATAGATTCATGATAAATTTCTGCGCAACACTTTTGCTTAATAAGATGTTAACCTGGTGTCTTTATTCTTTCATAAACGATCAATTTAAGATTATCTGAATTTGAGAAACATGTACTGGATATTTTACAAGTGAAGATAAAGGAATAAGACTACATATCCTAGAAGTATAAGTATTATCATAAATGGGGATATAAACATATTTACATAAAATGGAAACGATGATAGCATTTTTTATCTTTGCATCCTTCATAAACCAAAATATCACATTTTATTTCGTATACCAAAGAATTGCGTAGCATCTGAATCCAGACCGTTATACCAATATGTTACAACTTTTGAGCGTATAAATCTTTTTGAAAGCCAGCAGGTGTTTTCTCTTCCTTGCCATCTTCCAGTGTATAAGCATTCAAATCAACATCCCCCGCAACTCTATTCTCCCTAAAATTTTTAATTGCTTTCTTAGCATATCCCGAAACATCATCATCTTCAACAAGCCACAATGCTTTTTTAACATTTGCCTTGATGGTAACTTGCTCATCATCTGCATGATTATCGAGATTAAAAATCTCTGGCGGTGAAGCGGAAACGAACAAAGACAAATCATGAGCAGCTTTTTCCAACAATTGTTGGATTTTAACAAGCTTTTTTATATCAGCAACTGTTAAGTCAATTTCTAAATCCAAATCAGAGTTTGATTCTAGATTCGGATCTTTAATCCTATTACCACCCAATCCATACTTTGCCTTAATATCATCAATTGTGGTTTTCAAAGACCAATAATCTTTATCGGCCTCGTAGGCTGTAGGTGCGGCATGTTTTCGAGTTGAGCTCGTAATGTTATGACTAAATTGGCTTGAAATTGGAGCAAGAGTTGGGCGAATAAATCGTGCCGGTATTGATGGGTTATAACGAAAATGAGTATAAAAAGAAGAAAGTCTCGAAAATGACATTTTTGTGGTCAATTTGTGCGGGAAGTCAGGGAAAAAGCGGACAAGAAAAGTGTGAGAATAACACTTTTATTGATGATGGGAAAATGTTTTGATGCGAAAATCCGATTGGACAATAGATGAGAAGTGGGTGATTTCCCTTCAGCGAAATCCAACGTTACGCGTGCATACCTTTGTTTATTTGTCGCAAACCAAATAAAGGGCTTAAATGAAACCTACCAGAATTGGAAAATATGCAATTATCTGCATTGTTGTATATACCTTTAGGACCTTTATTAAAAATTCAAGTTCGTCACTTAACCAGATGCGAATTTAGTTCATATAGTTGATCACAAAAAAAGAAAAATAATAATTTTAACTTTTTTATTCAATAAAAAAATAAAAACTCTTTTTGCAAGAAGTTTTCTTACTTTTTTGCTAATAAAGTCCTAAATCTCTTTTTAAAATAACTTGAAAATTGATTTCAAGAGTTATTTCTATTCTCTTATATTTGTTTATAGTTATCTTTGTTCAAAACTTGACTTCTGAAAATCAAGGATAAGTCGTATAATATTTTTGATATCAATAATAGAATAATTTAGAAATAACTGAATAAAAATCTCTTAATTTTTAAAGTATATTATATAGAGATTTGTTAGAATAAAAAAATTTATTTTTAATTATCAATATTTTCTTAAAATTTTTATTTTTATAGTTTTTCGATAAATTTAATTTGATCTTTTATTTATTTATTTATTTAATCCATGGTTAGACCAGTACTATATATTTATTAATCAATATGAAAATTGACAGAGAAACATAAGGCAATTACATTATGGTTAAACTAAAACTTATATTAACTTACTTGTTAATAACTTTTAATTCTTAAAAGAGCTTTAACCTCTAAGTGTAATTTTAAAAACAATATTTTACTCCGTAGTAGATTTTGGATGAATATTTTCCTAATTTACATATCATTGTTAGCAAATTATTATTATTTATTATTTTCCAATAAACTAATTTTGAGAAATCACAAAAGGAAAAAGAAAGAATTAAAAAAAAAAAGATATATTTAAAAATACATCATATTCTTTTTGATTATCTAAAGAACTTATCTATTTGTGATTTTGATTTTTTCTTTGTAATCATCTAAGAAACTTATCATTTACTTGAATCTAATGTCTTGCTCAATACTTCCCTTTTTTTAGTTTTGATTTGCATAAAACAAAACAATTAATAATAAATTCAAGTTCTTATGTGACTTTTTAGTCTTGTTATGTAACTCCCAATATCTTTCAACAGCTGTACCCAATTAAAAAAATTTTACTGATATTTATCTTGATTACAATATTATTATGTAATATTTGAAAAAATATATTCTCAATTATAGAGAAGAATGATATTTTATATTTTTCTGCTTTTTATTTTTACAGCCTAACTAGGATAAGAAAATAATCTTTTTCATATATCTTGCCTGACCAGGATAATAAGAAGTTAAAGACTTTGGTTTGAACAAATAAATAACTTTTTATTACTTAAAAATTTAGTGCCTATTCTAATGGTCTCATGATCTTTTTGTTTCAGTTATACTTTATTTGAAGGAGTAGAGAATTCAACTAATTGATTCATTTTCATTTCACTAATAATATCATTAAAACATATAAGTATAATCAATAAATTCTTGTTTATATCTTATTATTAATATGTTTCATGTTAGCCAATCAAAAGTCAGATGATATTGTATTGTCAGAAATTCAAGATCAAGTTGGGATAGATAAAATTTTCTAAAAAATTATGAAAAAACTATAGATATTCTAAGAGTCAAGAGACAATATATGAAAAGATAGATAATAAACCTTTTTCTATCTAAAAAGCCTCTATTTCTATATCATGTTTAGCTTTAAAAGGTAACACTCTACAAGTTGATTCTTTTATTTCTTAGAACATTCTTATCTTTAGTAGAAGAAATATGTACTTAAGTCTATTTAGACTACTAGAGATTCAAGTTTTTATTCAAAGGAGTTTATAAATAAATATAAGAAGGTAATAATAATTTTTGAAGACAAGTTTCAAGTTGTTTTAAGAAAAATAAAAAAATTTTATTAAATAAGAAGAATAAAAACTTCTTGTGAACATCTTTTTAGTATATAGTCAAAGAATCAATGAAAAGAGTTTTTTTTCAATTCTCATATATTATTTTAAATATTATTATTATTATTAATATTAAAGTTTTTTAAAAAGAAATAAGTTATAAAATATTTTAAAAATTTTTTTTTATATTTGAAACAAGTTATTATAAAAGTTTTTTGTAAAAAAGATTTATTTTTTTTTTAATTTTATTTTTACGATTTTTAAATAATATAATTTTTATTAAATATAATCAATTATATTGATTATTGAAACAAACGAATCATGGAACACTCTTCCCACTGATCCTTTGACCACACACAAAAAAGATATTCACAGAAGTCTTGTCATTTCTATGCTAATAAAGTCTTAATACTTTCTTTAAACCAACCTGAAGGGGCCTCTTTCAGGACTCCACTATCTTCTCCCATATTGTTTACAATCTTCTACGAATAACACTGGATTCTTGTGGCCTGCAAAGTTCAGCACTCACCTTGACTACCAATGGCAAGAAAGTTCCTCAAGGGAGAAGGACCAACGGCATAGTACTCACCACCCATCAGATGAAGTGGAGG